TCGTTTGATTTTTGACCGCTGTGTCAAATTAACACCGGGAGACCTATTAAGATGCGAAACTGAGGGAGGGACGAGGGTTAAATAGTTCTATTTCTAACTGTTGACGTATTTATGCATATTGGGACGTGTCGTATTAAAAGAAAAAATTAATTTCGGACAAGTTACTATGTCAATATTTTTATTTATAATTAGACGAATTAACACTTAACCGCCGGCACTAATTTGCGAAACTAACTTTTTTTTTATGCATTACTTTTAGGTGAAAGTTACAGATAATGTAAAGAAACCATAAAACCTACTAAAACTACAAATATTACAGATTGCAAAAATGCAATGCCGGCGGTTTAGCGATAGTCCAGAAACATTGCAGAAATGCAATGCAGGCGGGTTAAACTGTTAAATGAAACTTTGTTCTTTACACTGTGCGCTAACATTCGTGTGAACACGACAAATGAATAGCAGTGAAAAAAAAAAAAAAGGTAATATTTGTAAAATAATGTGCATTCACCCAAAAGAACGCCGAGATTCTTTATTTTACGCATCACGTATACGTGTTCCGACACACGGGTGCGCACAATGCGTGGAAAAAGTATCGGGACACGAGCAAAGAAGCCGTCTAAACGCGTGTTTTCGGTTTCTTCAAAAAAACCGGCAGCGACAAAGCGATGAAACACGCCGGTGAAAAAAGAGCCTGGAAGCCGCGGCTTCGGCTATCTGCGACTTAGATCGCCGGTCATGCCTTTGAAGGATGCGAACGATCGAATTACCGGCTCAATTCATCCGTGAACTTCTGCGCGGTCGAGTGTCGCGTGTTTTCTCTCCTTAAACTTTCAGCTACGGCGGCGCAGGGCCGCAAACGAAATTGGTAGCTGGTATTTTTTTTTTTTTAATTTTTAGCGATGCGTGAGAGAACAAACGCGAATCGAGGCATACGAAAGCAATTCCACGCCACCGCGGCTTTCAACGCGAGAAAACAAGCGAGTCGCTGTGGTGGCTTTCCGTTAAAAAATTTCACTCGGGAGATCTCTCTGAGAAATCTTCTCGAATCTTCGCTCGAAGCGACATTTCGTCCAAAAAATTACTTAACGGAAGAGATAACTATAGCGACGCAAAGTATTATAGCTTGCTTAGCACTGAACGGCATTTACAGTGGCTCTCGCGTAGGTGATCTTTTTAAACGAGAAAAGATCTCGATCTTCTCAGCGCCACTGTAGCGACATTTCGTCCCAAAAATGACTTAACGGAAGAGACGACTATAGTGACGCAAAGTTTAACTTAAAATAAATTTAACCATAAAATAGTGAAAAAATCAAGCAACGACGAGTACACACGTCGAACGCAGGGCAAATGCTCCTATCATAAATTTGACGAAAAAAGTAAAGCAAAAACGAGGAAGGATTACATTTTTATTCGATAAAAAATTGTTATTAAAACCTTAAAAACTGTCAAAAAAATGATAAAATTCATAAACAAGAAGAATTTTAAGAAATTCGGTTGATTTCGGTGTGGCATTCTAATCAACTCAGCTCGTAAAAAAGTAATATCCAATATACCAGAGAATAATCAAATTGTTTTTATAAAATACATAGCAGGCAGTTTTATTGGTAATATAAAGGAAACATACCACCAAATGACGTTTCAATTACGTCTTATTGAAATTTCGAGTTTGTGTAGTAAATGGTAATTTCTATTTTACACGACGAGTATGCAGCACGTCATACCGCACCGCAATAGAGATTTCGATTGACGTGTATGTTTAATAGTTAATCTCTTAGCTACCGAACGCCATTACAGTGGCTCTCGCGTAGGTGATCTTTTTAAACGAGAAAAGATCTCGTTCTTCTCAGCGTCACTGTAGCGACATTTCGTCCCAAAAATGACTTAACAGAAGAGACGACTACAGTGACGCGCAAAGTATCTTTAGCTACTGAACACGCCGTTGTCGTGTCTTTCGCGTATAAATAATTTATTCATCCATAATCTCTCCTGTGATGTAACTTCGTAGTAGAAAGCATCACCGGGCACAAATCGCAGTGCTACAATACATAATTCACGCGCATTCCGCGTGAAACCGTGCCGCAAGAGATACAGCACCGCGGAAAGTCCAGCCGGTAGATAAGAGGTTAAAGAGTTAAAGGACGTTTCGTTTCCCTATTACATTTCCACATCTGACACCCTTAATTCCCCTCGTAAAGCTCGAGCAAGCAACCCGCGCTCAATTTTTCGTGCGCAAAAATGAGGGAGAAAGATCGGTGTTTCCGTCATTTGGCCACCATCTGGTTCCTCCGCAGAAAGTATTTCGCGAAGCTTCTTCTTCGTCGATTATTTATAGCCGCATATACATAACGCCACAAACGCGAAACAACTCCGCTCCGCCCAGAGAAATGAAAATATTCCGGTGAGCTCTTTTATACGAGCTTCGAAATCGCGCTATAAAAGAAGGAAGCGTGTGCTTTCCATACGGAATACGTTTTCTCCGTCGCTTGAACCCTCCCTCCCTCCCTCTGTATAAGCCACCGCCCTCGATGCTGCTGAACTTTAACACGACAGTTTCGGGGGCGTGACAAAAGCTCTATACCGAAAATCCTTCTGATACCGGGTCCCTACTCTAGCTCACCCCGACCCCTATCTGCTTTTGTCTTCCTTGAAAGATATAACAGCGATACCAGGAAACGTATACACAGGCTCATCCGATTTAATCTGTTTGTATAAACTGGAAGAGAGCTCTGCTGGCAATGACATCGATACGATGCATAGTCAACCCTTCTGTGACACGGTTAACGCGTTCACTGCCCCAGAAAGTTATTATTCTAAGCATATTGTATTGTTTTGCTATTTTTTTTTTCTTTTTACTATTCAAGATAACGTCTTGTTAGGTATGCTGTTTGAAATTTTTGGTCGACGATACTCTCGTTTTAGTTTAATTACTCTTCGTAATTACCAATGTACAATGTGTCTCTATACGTTTTAAAAAAATATTAAAAAATATAACGAGACACTCTGGTCACAGGTGACCAATGTGGTTAATTCGTTCCGGAAGGTGTTGGAAAAACGTTAAAATAAGGTCGAGTCAACTTTAATCGTTTAATCAGGTAGTTGTTAATAATTGTTACAATGATATTTCGCTCGCATATTTGTTAAAAATCGAAAACTGAAAAACTGGTCTCCCTTATGGAAGACGTGTTAAGTAACGCCATAAACTAATAGAAATTAGGGGAATGCGTTTCTACATGGATACAGTGTTCTCGTGCTGTGTCGAAACCGTGTTAAACGGAACTCAGAACGAATGCAAACTAGGGAGATTTGTTCTGTTACATCGAAACCGTGTTCTCCAAGTGCGTAGCTCGAGAATATTGTTTTCAACGAAAGAGAGTTGCCCAAGTTTACGAAACCGCTTAAAATAATATAGTGTCAACCCCTTGACGCTCACATTTCTCTCAATTTAACGTGCCGAACGCTATAAATATTATTTTTTTACAAATTTACCTTAGATTTTGGGCATAACCCAAGTGAAAGAAAATTAACCCCTTAACTTGCACGCTCGAGTTAATTCGAGCGCGCTAAACAGGCCAAACTGTGCACACTCGAGATAATTCGAGCGGCGTTGTATTTGATGCTGCTATAATTTTTCACACTCGAATATATTCGAGAATTGAAAATAACAATGTGAAAGCTAAGAAAAAGAATCGTGTTATTGATATTTATCATTTACATAGGATTGTAAGCTATAATACTTATTTATTCGAAAATAAAATATAGCCTTTTTCCATGGAACAAAAGCGCAGTATATCGAAATTGTCCACTAAAAGAAAAGTTGAATCAGGAGTGATAACAAATGGAAACCTTTGAGGATGTCGATTTGGTTGGACATTGTTAGTTTGTTTTTTTTACATTAAAAAAATTGATTTTTTTTGGCCGGTTTTTTTCAAAAAAACTGTGCGTTAAGGGGTTAAACAAAATTTCGCTTTTTCGAGGACTAGTTACGCACGTGAGACAGCCACGAGCATTAAAGGGTTAAAGCAGCACGATCGCAATTTCTGCACCGTCTTACAAGGTCAACTGTATTACACAATAATCATACGAAGGACGATCAATTCCTTATCGCAGTCCATTCAAACACAGAAATAAAGCTACACACAACGTTCGTCGATTTAGCCAGCAGGCCTAATAGCGAAGAAACGAACGGAAGAAGAGAAGAGAGAACGGGTAACTCTATCTACCAAGGTAAGTTCTGCGATTCGAAAGAAACGTTCTCCTCTTATCGGCGTCACTAAAAGCGACCAGCGAGGCCGGAGGAGGAGCTTGCGTGGGAGAGAAACGTGACCAATTTGATAAGGGATCGCGATAATTGTATTCTTACACGTTTGCTCGGTTGGACCTCACAGGGAGCCATCGGTATCGTGACCGCCTGGGCCAATTATTGTTTATAACGAGCCGGCCACTTTTTTTTCTCTCTCTCTTTTCTCTTCCACAAACTCTCCCGTTCGATCCGGTACCACGAATCCAAAAAGTTGCCACGTAATTCGCGTAATTGCGGTGGCGCCTTCTTTGCAAACTTTCCGCCTATGTATCTCTACCTTGGATCGTTCGCCAAATTAATTTTGCCCACTTTCGTCGTGCTTTAAACACCTCAGATCGTGCGATACTTGTTTTCTTACTGTCGTATATTTTCATTTTTGGCGGGACCAAAGTATACAGGGCGTTCAGTGAGAATACGACGTGGAACGTTTCGTAGAAGCTACCAAAGACACAGCTTCGAAGTATTAACCCTGACACGATAGTTTTTTTTTACTAGCAAGTAGATTGTTTCAGATTAGACGTGAATTTTTGCGATGCAGTAACGAAAATTCGTAAACTCAAGATACCAGTGTGCTAGAATTCAAGGTTAATCGCAACGGACCACCCTGTATACCAATTTCATCCTGTACCCATTCGCTGTAGAGGAAATTTCCTTGGAAATTTGATATTAAAGATAAAATTGTAAAAAAAAAAAATCTTACCGAGCTCGGTCGCTAAAGAAATCAACCTTGCTCTTCTTCTTCATAATGGCCTGCGGTTGATGAAGAGGACTGACGCTTGGCTCGCTGGTCGCTGGTGGTGAGCTGGATCCAGTGCTGGACGATAAAGAGCCAGCCCTTCCTCTACCAGCCTCGATCAACTGCGCCTCGGTGGTACCGCGACCGTTCGCCGTAACGTGATTACCATGACTCGGTGGGCCAGCTGAGACCGCCAACATAGGCCTGGTATTCTGACGATTACGCCTTTTCTTCTTCTTCGCCTCGTTCTCGTCTTGTCTGGTACCAGAAGCGTTCCCCGAACCAGGCGGCATCCAATCCAGATCTTTCTTTAAATGTCCACGACCACATCGACATCCACACGCTTTAAATGCGAGATCGTAGCCCTTTTTCGTCCAGAGATTTTGATGGCGCTGCCGTTCCGACCAGCTACGGGCGCGTCCGCAACTCTTCAGATAAGTCAGCACCGTTTGCTCCCACGCGTCGAAGCACTCGCGATGCATGAACTGACCGAGCGGGCAGTTATCGTTGTTACACGTCACCTTGACCGTGTCGTGCAATACGTTCAACCGAATTAAAGTGTCGCCCCTTAGGCACTCGCCGGTTGGCGTACAGCAACGAGTCGTTTGATTCTGCGTTAGCAGATTGTTGTTCTCCATCGTGTCGTTGAAACCGCCGCCACCGGCTCCTCCTGCTCCACCGCCGCCGCCACCGTTCTCCATCAGTACACCAGCGTGGCCGTTCGCGTGACGCCGCGGTGCCATCACTTCCTCCTCCTCTTCTTCGATCGAGAACCGCCGCCTTTCTTCTTCTTCTTGCAAGCTACGACCCGTTTGATATCTTCGTAGGACGCGCACGTCGCGAGAACTGTCGTAAGTTTTCTTCTGTACGTGATATGTCGATTTGTGGAACTGCGGTACTCGACGTGGATACGAACCGGGTCGGTAACGAAGGTTCTGTTGCACCAATACGTTTCTGGAATCCGTCTTGGCGATTCTCTTATTTCATCTTCGCGCAATTCCCGCGTCTCACCTGTGCCGTTTCACGCACACCCATTCAACGGAAAGACTGTTACGAAGTTTCGTGTCGCAGAGACGCGCAGCGGATGTATCCGGTACTCGAGTGAAAAAGACGCGGCAACGAAGAAAACCGCGGCGATGTTCCACCGAACGTTCAGACGAACTGTCATCCAACGGATATATTCCCTCTCGTTCCAAGGAAGAGAGTCGAGAGTAGAAGTGAGGTCACTCTGTCACGACACAAGCTCGCGATCACAACATCAAACTACGATCACGACTCGGTACGGAAAGAATCTCTTCTCTGGTCGTGGTGTTTCGTGCACCAGAGTCAAGGTCAGCGTGGTTCTGCGACGCCGCGTTGCGGTAGTTTTGGTAAAGTCTCGTCGACGATTCTCGGTTTCTCGCGCGACGACTGTTGACTGTCTCTCCACCACACCGAATCGCATGTACGAAGTTTGTGCGCCGTCTCCTCTCGGATGATGTTCGGTGTCGAATAAGATGATGCGACCACCGGACAACAAATGTGTCGATTGCTGCTCCTCTCCGTCGAATGTCAGGGTCACCGGCGCAGAGCGCGCGCACCGTGAAACGCAATTTTCGATCCAAGTTCGCGCGGCTCGTACACACGACTCAACGAGAGGGACAGAGAGAAACGATCGAACAGGCAATACGCGGCACGCAACACCGAGGCTCCGATTCCTTCTCTTTTCTTTCTTGCTTCCCTTTTTTCTCTCGTGCACACGGAGAGTCCACGACGAAAAACACTTGCTCGCACGTAGGGTGCACCAGTCACTGAGCGCCGGCGACGACAGCGTGCCGGCTGCCGTGGCTCGGCGCGCGGGCGAGCGCGAAAGTGAGGTCCCATTGGATGAAAGCGAAAGCAGCATGGTGGGGGTCACGGCTAGCGCGCCAATCGATGCGCGCCGTTGTCGTCCTCCGCCTGGCGCACGCTACCACTCTATGTTCCTATCTTTCTTCAACCGATACGTCTCTCCTTCTCGCACTCGTACACCCGGCGCTGCATACACGAGCGCGCGTTTTACTTTTCGAAGCCGGCGAGCACAGGCTTGCGAATAATCCCCGATACGCGTGTGCGCGCACGTACGCGAATGTATGTACGATATACCACGACCGTTCGACGTATCTCGCCAACTTACGCAGAAATCGTAACGAGATAATGCTCTCTAAATTGAAAATTCGCTTCGAAGCCGGGATCCGGATCCC